AACGATTAATTAAACTATTTGAATTTACTTATTATATTAACTTTTTTTTTAGAATAAGCAAAAAATTTATTTGTTCCAAATATTTCCTATATATTTTATTAAAAAAAAATAAAAACTAATATTTTGTTGAACCACCTTCGGCTGCTATACATGAGTGGTAAGGTGACGATGCTTTGAATTTTATGTAACAATCTTTTGAGTGAAGATTGTGCATTTAAATCAAAAAGTGACTTCAGGTCATAACGTTTTTTTGGTATTGCAGAACCAGTTTCTTTAAAACATTTTATGGCATCATAGATAGTTGTTTTATCACATTGAACGATGTCAGCAATTTTTTGATATGAATCACCTTGTTTGTGGCCGTAAATAATTGCTCTATATTGTTCAGCATTTAATTCTTTTGTTTTAACCATTTTTGTTCAAAAGAAAATTATTTGTTGTTATTGTGATCGACATCCATTTATATTCTAAACAAATGCTTAAATTAGAAATATATGTAAACATGTAAACAAAACGAATAAACAAAAAATACTTATCATTCAGGTACCCGTAATCACCTTCTATATTTACATTTCTTGAACGAGACTTGGTTAAGATTCGAGGTTGAGCTTTAGTGATTGTTTCAGTTTGACAATCATGTGCGAAATGTCCTTTTTCTTTACAGTTAAAACAAATTAAGTCGTTGAGTATATCTATTATTATTTGTATTACTATCATTATATAATCTTTGTTCTGGTTTATGCTGACGGTTTTGGGTTTTAGCTAAATTTGCTGAGAGTTGAGCTACTTGTTATTGGAGAAGTTCGACTTTATTTGTTGTTGTTGAATAGGTTGAGCTATAAAAAATCCAGTTTCTATTTCTTTAGCCTTTTGAATAGTATCGTTCAAATTGTTAGGACTATGTCCTACAACTGTAGTCATAAGTTGTGGTTGTAATCCTCGCATAAATTTTCTAACTCAATAGTCTTGTCCAAAGTTTCCCATAGGATCAACTCTACTCATTAAAGTTTTGAATTTTAAAGCGTATTCACTAACTGATTGACTAGGTAATTGTTGTAACATTTCTAATTCTGACATCCACTTATTTTTCATTATAGCATAGCAAATTGTCAAGTGAATCATGATACAAAACTGGTTGCACTTCCCAAGTTATTCTAGTTATTGATATTTGTATAATCTTTCTCATACCATTTGGCTGCGGCATCTTTTAAATAACCTGCGGCTATTTGATATTTATGATTATCTTGCCATTGATTTGCAATAGCAGCTCGTTCAAAAGGGTTTTTATCATCACAACCATGAAAGTTACTGGGTTTAATGATATTTAATTCTTTACTTACTGCTGTGGCATTTACAGGATTTGCTAAAGTTAATCCTTAAAGAGTATTTGTCATTTGTTGTAATAAAGCAGCCAATTGATTTGATGGAATATTTACTGTGTTATTGCCTGAATTATTGTTTTGAATTGAAAGTAGATTATTGCAGTTGCTATTGTTATTGATGATGTCCACTAGTATATCTGAATTCAGAATAATGACCATAATTCAAAGGTTGTAACGTATTGAAAACAGAAGAAGTAGTAGAAGTAGTAGTAAGATTTGAAGGGTTAATGGATTTTGAGGAACTTAAACTCACAATATTTTGATTTGGCTTCATGTTGTTTTGTGAAGATATCGGTTGTTTTCCTTTATTAATAGTAGTTACAGCAATAGGAGTACTTGATAGTAGAGGGTTTGTAAAAATATTACTAACTGTACCAATAGGAGTTGAATTAAATGTTTGATTACTTGGAGGTGATAATTTATATCCGTCTTGACCAATATCTAAAGGGATAGATTGAAAACTTTGGTAAGAATCTTCTTCACTTTGAGGGTTACAAACTTGAGTTACATTAGATGATTCTGAGTCAGTAAAAATAGAGTATTAGTGAAAAGTTTCAGGGTCAAATTGATCTTCTAAAGGTGCAATATTTTCAAGATTTGAAGTGTCAACAAGATCAGTTACTCCTTGTGGTTCTGGTATAATTGTGTTACTTCTAAATTGCAAATTAGTAGTTCTATTAGAGAATTGTGAGGTTATTTCGTCTGTTTCACTTTCTGATTTTTGGATAGATTCACTAGTATTTGAGGATACTATTTCTTGGGTAATAGTTCTGTTTGCAGAAGAAGAGTTATTAGACAAAGATAATTGAGGTCTAGGTTGAATTTCTTCTGAATCTCCTTCTGAACTTCTTAATCCAAGGATATTACCAATAGCACGAGCAGCTCTGGTTAAAGTACTAGTAGTATTAGTAGAACAAGATCTAGAGGTTCTTCTTCAAGATTGATATTGAGTAGTTGGGTTGTATGTTCTTCCTGAACGAAGGGTGTAACTGGGTTGATTTTCAAAAGTATTAGACTCTACGTTGATTGATTAAAGGTGTTCTTCTATAAGGATGTCTTGTTGATCGATAAAGCTCTTTATCCACTCTAAGAATAATGAACTTTTAGTTTCAATATGATTTGTTCAGGCTAATACAAGAATTAGATCAAGGACAATTTGATAGATGTTATCTCTTGAGAGATCAGCAGACAGTCGATATCGATAAGATTCTACTAAAGCAGAGGATTGAGTAATAAGTGTTATAGAGATTTTCCAATTATCAGGTTATTCAACAAATTCAGGAATAGAGGTTCTAAGTTCAGTAAATAAATCAGTTGTTTGCTTAGAATATTGGGTTGCTTTGAATTGTAAACGATACCAAGACCAAAAATCGTCAAAGTTTTCTGGATGTTCAAATTCTTCTTCAATAGGATAACAAATTAAACAAGATATATCAGGTACAAGTGCTAAGTTTAAGGGTTTTCCAATAGCAATCAAATGATGTAAACTATCATATGCTCGATTTCTATCTGCAAAATTCATATACTTTCTTATGTTTGAATTCTGGCAGGAATCATCACTTTTGTCACTGTGGAATTCTTCAAGCGGTTTACAGCAGTTAAGACGTTAAGATCCGCTTAACTCTTAACTTTACCAAATTTATATGTTGGACTTAAACAAATTCTATCAAGTATAAAGTCTTGAAAGACGAGATTATGAACAATTTTAATTAAAAAATTCAGATGACGAACTCAATTACAAATAATGTATAGAGATCACGTCAGACTATATGAAGACACGAAAAGGCAGAAAGATATAAGTTTTGAATGATTCCTTTATTAATATTGAAACTCAATTGTTAATCCGTAAAAGAGTTTACAAATCTGTAAAAAAGTTAATTTACAATATAAGCAAAAAGTCTATCTATTTATACAAAATTTCTTTTGTTACAGTTAACTAATTACTATGCTATAAACTAACTAATTTAGCAAAATAAAATATAAGTAAAATAAATATAATAAAAATACGTAAAATAATAAAAATATAAAATATAACAAAATTAATAAGAAAATTTAGAATATTAAAAATAAGTATAATACTAAATATTCTTAGATTCCATTTAATTCGTAAAATTAGAATTATTATCAGTATTTGAAAGATCTTCAGAATTACATAGATCCTTCGTATTTTCAGAATTCGCAGAATTCTCAGTATTTTCAGAATTCTGGATTAAGAGATCATTATACTGCTTCATTTATGTAACTTTATTATGACTGGTCAATTGCTCCGTTGACATCATTAAAAAATAATTTTTAGTTCTAAATAAAGCTAAAAAGTTTCTTTTTATTGAAAAAAAAAATTTTTGATCATTCTAAGTAAATAATAATAAATTATTTTAATTAAAATATAATAAATCATTCTAATTAAATAATAATAAATCATTCTAATTGATAATATTAATATATATAATACCAATATATTGAATATATAGTAATATATTATTTCTAATAAATTTAGGAGATCACAAAAGAAATGTCATAAAAACTAAAAGCGATGAATATTCAGATGTATTTAATTCAATTGATGATTAAAAATATGCTAATACTGATGAGCCACCATATTTATTAGATGAAAAACAAAAATAAAATAATATTGATTCTGACTCAAATTATACGTCTAGTACATTTTGTAAATCTAATGATACATGTGATTTAAACGGATCTTCTGATAAAGATTAAATTGCTCAATACACTAAGAAAATTACATATGAGTCGCAGCTAATGAATTTTATTTAAGCGATAATCCTACAAAAGATGTTGAGGAAAAATGATAACTTTCTCTTACTACTAATTAAAAAATCTCTTAACTTCTATTACCATTCAAAATCATCAAGAGAAAAAGTATGAATAACAATTCCAATATATTGCCAATGAAGATATTACTAATAGAGATATTACCAATGAAGATATTGCTAATAAAGATATTATTGATAAAAATATTTTTGATAGAAATATTGCCGATAGAGATCCTATAATAGATATCTATCAAAACTTGACATCTTCTATTTTCTCATCACGAACATCAATTTTAATAATACTAATTGTTCATCTGGTTAATGATAATGTGAACTATATAATTTATTATATCATTAAAATGTTTTTCATATTTCAAATTAAATTCAATATATTTGTTTATTTTTAGGCTACAACTGGAATGCTTACAGATTTAGTAAATGAAACTAAGATCTTATTCTTAAAAGCTCATAATTCTTCACATTCAGCTTAGCTCTAATTGGCAATATTAGTGACTTCAGGATTTACCCAAAGTAGCAAGATGATCAATTTTCTTAAATTAAAAATCAATTCTTATTATGCGAACTATTAAACATGCTTAAACACTGAAATTAGGGTATATGACAAGGATTACATTCATAATAATTTATAAGTATTAATATGATTTTTTGTATACATTTAATTAGGGATTGGACCCGTCTTAAAAAACCAAACCTGGGTCACCTGACAGTTAGGACATCAGGTCACTCGAGTGATCAATGGTTATACCCAGATAAGGATTTTACCCATTACACCTGAATGATTTAAATATTCAAAAATGCCGTATGATTAAATTTATTAAATTTTATTCTGAAAAATCTTTTTTATTTATTTAAATGAAAGTTGAAATATTTTATCAAGCCCAAATATTACAATATAAACTATTTCTTTTGACATATAATAACTGACTGACTGTTTCAGATGCTAAACGGTTTCTTTGTGAAGTAACTTAATTTCCTGCATCAGAGAAAAGCCGTTTACTTAGAACAGAAGTAGCAGGAATTGACAAATACTTACATGTCATTCTACTTAGAATAGGAAAGGAATGTTGATTAATATGCCACCATTGATAAACATCAGTAGATTCAGGTAAAATTAGCGTAATTATTTCATTCAAATAATTATCAATTTCAATTTCATGATTTACTTGAATTTGATTATGGCTAAATATTTTTTTCATAAAAGAAGGTGCCGATGAAAAACTTGTTCCAATATGACTTAATGATTCATCAGCTGTGACTACATTCTGCCAAATTTTAAATTCAGCACGTAACTTACTAATTGTTTCATTCCGAATTTCATCAGACCATGCACTCATTGATTTCAATCGTGGATCTAATAAAGTAGCAACTAATCCAATATTTTCTGAATCATGCCAATAATGCCAAAGAGAATTATAGATAACTCCCTGAACTTTTGAAATTATCATCTTTGATGAAGGCGATTTTTGGCGATTAGTTATACTTTGAAGTTGATGCTTATTTATAGTGGATTATTGAATATTCATATCATTTTCAGAACTTTTATCATCAATATTTTCATCATCTGATGAAATTTCATCTGAAAATTTATAAAAAAAGTTAAGTTTTAATTTTTAATTTATAAAATTAATAATTTGTTTTATATTTATCTTCATCAATATTAATTTCATTACTATTGATAATTTTGTCTAATTCTTCTGATATTAAAATATCACCATCAGCAAATTCAAATTTTAATGCCTCAATACTTAGATTAATAACTAAAAGAGTAGTATGCTGAATTCCACTAAAATAAGATGTCAATTCATCAAATGGTTTAAGTATATTTACTAATTCATTTAATAGCAACCATTCATGATCTTCGAGCATGAGACTTTTTAGTTTATAAGAATCTTCTTTAGCATCATCTTTATTTTGTAAATGTAGGGTTGCAACAAGCCATTCAATTGCCAGACGTAAAATTAAAAGTCTTTTCCAAGATTGGTAAGTGGAGTTCCATCGAGTTTTTACATTATTAACATTATGTAAAATCTTAAATTCTGTTTTTTTAACTATTTCTAAATCATCATCATTTACTTCTATTTCATCTATTTCAGCTAAATCATTAATCTTATTACGTTGAGCTAAATCAATTTGTGCTTGATCAAAACGTTGACTTTGTTTTGAAGATTTAAAAAATTTAACAAGCTTTCAGAACCGTTTGGTATATGGTTTAATTGCCTTCAAAGCTTGAATAACTGTAAGTTGAAGTATATGTGCAGAGCAAGAAAGACGTTCTACACCATCCCAGATTCTAATAGCCTTTTTCATATTTGCTCCATTATCAGTTATTGCGCAAACTATTTTTCCAGCTAATCCAAATTCTTCAATTTTTTCATTTAAGTATTCTTTGATTCGTTCACCTGTATGTGGATATTCTATTCTTTCAACAGCTAATATTACATCATATATTTCAAAATTAGAAGATAACCAATGAAGAGTTACACTAATATATCCATCATTACTGCGTGCTGTCCATAAATCTGTAGTTATAGACGCAGTTTCACAAGTAATAAAAATTAACTCCTTAAGTGCTAAAACACCTTTTTGATAAGCAATTGCAAGATCTTTTTTAATGCTTTTATTATTTGGCAATGTGAATGCAGGATCAAATTTTTGTATCATTTTTCTATATCCTTTTCTATGTACAACATTGAATGGCAAAGAATCAGTTACTAACCATTCAGCTGTAACTCGTTTTAGCTCTGCTTGTTTAGGTGCACGATGTAAAGCTACTTTTCTAATCATTTTATCAATATGTGCTTGATATTTTTCACCAGGATTTGATTGAAGATCTTCTGGTGATAAAATTCCATGTTTTAATTGAAGATGTTGTTTCAGTTCCACCATCATGCTTATAACTTTTATTACATTCAACCTCTTCACCTTTTAGGAATATGATTATCTTACAAATATCACGTCCATTCTCAGTTTGAAAATATTCCCAAACATAACTTGATTTTTTGGTTTTAGTAGTAATATTTACTCGGATTTTTTTTACATTTGGTTTCTCTACGGGCTTCTGTGTAGCTTTTCTTCTAACTGTATTATTTGAAAAATTTTCACCTTATACATCAATATTAGAAGTATATTCATTATTACTATCCATATTTTTTGAAAGAATAGATGTGAAAAATTGGTACAAACAAAAGAGATGTTTTAATATTTATTATTAAGATATATTGCACGATAAATTATTCTCTTAATTAGCATTTGATTAGCAAAATTGGTAAGGTTAGACAATTCGATTTTAAATTAATCTTTTTTTTAATTTATCACATTCAATTATATAAATTTCATATGTAATATAAATAAACTCGATTTTGAATTTGATAAATTGATCAACGGGTTTTTAACTGACGGGTTACCCATCTGCAATTATCTGGGTTTTATGATTATGACCTGGATATCTAGCCCACCTGTGGGTGATCCGGTTATACTCGACCTAAGTCCAATCCCTACATTTAATATTCAACTATTTGTCTTAATTCATTTCTTATTTTAGAATCACTCTTGATAATATACTAACAATCAAAAATTTGAAAATTATATGTTAATAAAATATGTATATATCAATGTTTCAAAACTTCAATGACACAAGTGCTAAAGGATTGGTGGAATAAAAATCTTACTGATGTTGAAACATTTCGATTATTTATTACTTCTGCTATAAAGATCTATATAAATAACATCTTAAAATATTCTATCGATCCACATCTTAGTAATGCACTAGCCTTAAATAAAGTTAAATTTCTCAATTATATAACAAGTCAAATACATCTTCTACATATTCATATAACTAACTTTGCTAATCAAATCAATCTCAATCCTGAAGCTGGTCAAATTTCAAGTTGTTGAGATCGAGATTAAAGTTGTAGTAATAGGTTTGCTAAAGGAGTAAGGCATCATCTTAATCACTAAATTATATTTATTCATTATTTTTACTACTTATATATTGTAAATATAAAAATATAGCAAATACTTAATGTTAGATTTTATAAATACGAGTATTATGATAATTTATTTCACAATAGATTATCAAATATATATATAATATCATATATATATATAATCTTTTTAAAAAATCTCACAATACATTTTTAAATATATATGTAATCTTTTTAAAATTTTATAATACATTGTTAAATATATATACGATCTCTTTTTAAAATTATAATGGTTTGTATAACAATTGTTTATATATTATACAATACAATTAGAAAATTTATCCTTGATAGTAAAGTAATTAAGGTCATCAATAATTATCATAAAAACTGTGATCATCATTTTTATTGATTTTACTGCTATCATAGTTATTATTATTATATTTATTTTAATTATTATATTATTTATTATTATTTTATTTATTATACTTATTATATAGTTATATTTATTTTTTTATTTTATTAAATATCTCTTTCTTATAATTGTAATTAATATAAATATCCTATATTATTACCTTGACAAAGAGATAAGTTTCTTTCTTATCATTAAATAAAGTATAATCTTAACAATATAAACTTATATTTTTGCTAATAACTTTTCTTAAATATAAATCATCAATAAAAATAACCTAACCCTTTAACCTAATTAAATACATATTTATTTCTTTTATAGTTTATAACTTAAACTTTCAATTAGCAAATAAGCTTTGCTATTCTAATAACATAATGTTTAAGCTAAACAGCACATAAAAGTTAAATTGATTTTTTTTAGCTGTTTTCACTTTCTATTATAAAGGTCCTATATAATTAAAGTTGCTTATCTAAACTTATTTAGATTTGAAAAAATGTCTAAACTGTAGTTTTATTAATTTTTTATAAAGCAACTACAGTCAACTCTTAATACAATAAATTTTTAGTATAATACAGATTTTTTTATATTAAAAAAATCTTGTTATAACAATTTTTACTTGTTAAAAGTTATATAATGATATACAAAGAAAATTTTATAAATACATATATATAAATTAATCCTTTTTTAGCAAATTTATTTATAATAAACTTTTTTTAATATAATTAAGATTTTAAAAGGCTTTAAAAGAACCAGTTCTAAAAAAAAAAAAAAGATTAATAAAATGTTTTTAAAAAAACTCATCTATTTTAAGAAGAAGTAAATCAACTTACTAGTTCTTTGCAGAAACCTGTGATTTGTTACCATATGGTTAAATGATCACTACCAAATCATAATAATTTAGTATTAAATACGTGATGATGTATTATCAGATGATTCCATAAAATAATCGAAGACATATCGTAGCATATTAAAAAAATAGTCTTAAATAGGTGGTAAATATCATTGCAAGTTAACCGAAAAAATCAACTTAAGATATTTTTTTGTTATATTAGATATCATTTGACGATGAATCTACCACGTTCTCAAGTCGTTGTTTTTTAAGTTGTTTTTTTTTTGTTTTTGTTATATTTTATTAAATAAAAATCGCATAATAAAAATTATATTGTAATAAAAAAATCTAATAAAATTTCCATTGTAATAAAATTCCATTGTTGTAAAAATAAACGCTACATTATATAATAAAAATAAACACTATATTACAATAAAAATAAATTTGTATTATATTTTTATTAATAAAGAATGCATTAGCAGTGAATACAGTTATAGGAAAAAATCGTTATATAATTAAAATCAAACCGCCTGTTGTAGAATTTTTTAGTATAATTATTCATAATAAAACAATACTGTTATATTAAAGAAGAGAAGGAGAGGCGTTCGTTAAGTATTAATGTAATATATAACAAAAATAAACTTTATTGATAAATTAAAGTTATAAAGAATATATCGATATAAGTAATAAATAGAATACCTCATGTTTCACAATTGTAAGTTGTTGGCAATATTTCTGCTGTTTTGAGATGAAACTGCTATGTTTCTTATTAAATTATCCAAAGATTTCATTACATCGGTTTCTCTTGAATTATAATTTATAAAAAAAATTTTCCGAACGAATCTTTGTAAAGTATGTAAGGAATTTTGAGCCTTTAATTCGGTCATGTTCATCGTGTTTAACCATCTTTATAAGATGTTTATTGTTAAAGTTTCATCGATAAGCAAAGTTATCTCACTTTCTTCCAAAAAGCGAATTGTATTTCTATTTTCTCTATAAATAAACAGAAATAATTTAGTAAAAATAATTGATATACTGGAAATAAAGAAATTACAATGAAATGATTACTGAGTCCTTTTTTCTTTAAATACATTAACCGTTTCTTCAAGATTATCAAGAAATTTATTGCAGAAATTATTAAAACTTCTATTGGCTATGCGTAACAAATTGATTCTTTTGAACGAATTAAGATCGCAATTAAAGATTTGTCGTACCAAATCTTTAAAAGCGCTCTTTTTAGAATTTTGAACCTGAAGAAACAGACACTTTAGTTCTTCTAGAAAATCTCAGTTGGCTTTCTTCTTAATTATATAGGTTATTTAGCAATTAGTAACAAAAGCTAATGATAAAATAAATCATTGTTATATTTACTTTATCTTTTTGTTTTAGCATTTGTGATACACCAGTTACTAATGCTGATAAATTAAAGTTTGGCAAAATGGAGTCGAATACGTTTGCAACTTGTGTTTACATTGATAGATGTATATTATAAGCAAGTAGTAATATGTTCAGATTTGTATATAACCACGAATAGATTTGGTAAACGTTTACCATATCGTAAAATGATGCTGAAAGTGTGGGTTCTGTATTATATCAAGTTCAAAATGTCGAATGAGTATCATTATCATTAGTAAAAAAGGTATATTCGAATAAAATATGTTTGGTGTATTCAAATAAAAAACAACATCATCATCACCATTGGACCTCGTACGTGTATTATTAAAACGAAGTGTAGAGAGAGGTGTATTATTAGAATGATTAAGACGAGGTGTAGTATTCAAATATAAATGAGAATAAGATTCAGATGCTTCGTTTGATTTATTTAATGTGTTATTACGAAGCTTATTAATATTCATGTTGTTTGTGATTGGTGCAAGAGGTTTGCGTTTGTCACTTATAATATCATCTAAAGAAATGAGAAAAGTGAGAATAAATTAAATGATAGACAATATGCATGGTTTAAAAGTGAAAAGTTACCTTCTGAAAATTCATCATCACTTATTTCTAACAGTTTAGAAGGAATTACAAGATCTGTTGCTTGTTCTTGTATTTTGTCATCACCATTTTCATTATTATCATCTTTGTCTTCAATATCTTCATTATCACTATCTTCGAATTTATCATCTTTTTTCTTACCATCTATGTTATTTAAAGTTCTGTTGCCTTTCTTTTGAAAAGCCGTTGTTGGCTCTTGTATTTCGTCATCACCACTATCATTATTTAAATTATTTAAGAAAGATTTTTGCTTTTTCTTTCAGCCTCGCTTAGCAGAAACCTTTACTGGTTCCAGTATTTTATAATCACCACCATTATTTAAAGTTATATTGATAGGTTCCTTTTTCTTTCGATCTCGTTTAGCAGGGGTTTTTGTTTTTTTAGCAGATATATTTAAGACAGGAACAGTATCCTGTTTTTTCTTTTGATTTGGGTCTTTGGAAGCATTGGATAACTTATAATTTTGTACTTCTTTACTTTTGTAAGAAACGTATTATAAATTAAGAAAGAAATCGATAGCAAAGTTATTTCACTTTTAAATACAATAAATACAATTAAACCTTTTTTCGAATTGTTATTGTTTCCCTTGATCAATTAAATGTTGATATTAATTTTTAGTGACGCAATTTATAAACTAGACTTTTATAGTATTGATCGTGATTCAGAGTAATAGATTATGCAGTAGTTATATAATACTTTTTTAAGAGTATTTTTAATAAAGACGGAGTAG